CAAGATTCAAGTAACGAGGGAAAGATTACCTAACTTTGCGCGAGCTATTACCAAATTAGTCCGTCTACCACCAGTTTTAGATACAATTGAAAAGGTCAAAGGCTACACACAGGAACTTTGCTTAACGCTTAAGACTGCCATAAATGCAACAGGAACTCTACCTAGAGCAAACAGCAGTAAATCAGCTCTGTGGTGGACCCCTCCGTACAACGAAGCACGGACTGAATATTGAGCGGCCGAATTACCCCCCCAACATGCTGTGTACGCCAAAAAGCTCCAATCAGTCATTAGAGCCGCTAAAAATGAATATTAAGCACAGCTTGTCGAAAAATTAACCACGCCGAGCGATGGTTTTAGCTTGATGAGAAAGGCTAGTCCTAGACAGTCAAGCATTCACCCACCTCTTAACCACAACAGAGTTCTCATCTCTGATCTGCTAGAGCGAGCCACAGTTCTCCGTGACTTTCTCCTTGCAAGACACCAAATATTGGACAGCCTGCCACGAGCAATAATCAGATACCATGGAAGGATGAAATCTCCGAGGAAGAAGTCCGAGCTTGTACCATTGGCTGCAGAAATATGGCCCCAGGAGCAGATGGAGTTTCCGTACAGCTGCTAGTGGCCTACTAGAAGACAATAAGACCATGCATAGTCAAACTCTTCAGAGCTTGCATACAACTTGGTACGCGCCCAAATTGTTTCAAATTGGCCGAAGTGGTTCTTGTACAGAAGCCTTAAAAGGACCCAATAACAGTCAAAGGTTGGAGACCAATTGCCCTTATTTCTTGCCTTGGTAAAGGGCTAGAAAGGCTTCTGGCAAAACTGATGGCTCACCTAGCAGTCACTTGTGATGTGGTTGGTCAGCAACAATTCGGCGCCCTCTCGAGACGTTCAGCAACAGACCTAGTTTCCTGTGTGGTGCATGATGTCGAGGATGTACGCACTTAGAGATGGGCGGCTATGTCAAGAGTACAAGAGGATCTTGCATTCCGAGGGTCCAAGAGTTTGGCAGTTCAAGAGTTCAACAAAAGATTCAATAATATCGAAATAGTTCCTAAGAATACAGAACTATAATCTGCAAATCTAGAGTCATCCAATTTACTCATTATATATTCCTCCTTATTCCTCTGTACTGTTATCAATATTTCTAGTATACCCTCCAACAGAACAGAACAGAACAGAACAGAACAGAACAGAACAGAACAGAACAGAACAGAACAGAACAGAACAGAACAGAACAGAACAGAACAGAACAGAACAGAACAGAACAGAACAGAACAGAACAGAACAGAACAGAACAGAACAGAATAGGATAGATATTTTTGTACATACTTCCTATTGACTCAGAATAGGCCCTTAGCCCGTGACAAGCTACTTTTGTCACCTTAGACATACAAGGTGCGTTTGATGCAGTTCTTCATAACTGCCTATCGAGAATAATTCAAGAACAAGGATAGCAAGACTCAGTTCTAAAAAGGACAACGTTATTCCTTGCACAGAGAATGGTCCAAGTACAATACTTGGAAGGAGTCACAATAGAGCGACAATTAGTCTATGGAGTCCTGCAGGGCTCGCCAATCTCTCCACTTCTCTGCCTACTCTATATTGCAGAATCAATGCCCAGTGGTATGACTGACCTAAGATTTAGTTACACTGACTACATCGGCATTCTTGGATTTGGCTGCGCCACTGCTGAGTCTGCTGCCGCTGCACAGAAGGAAGTTGATCACCTACTGGATTGGGTGCATGAGAATACTGTCTATTTTGACACAGAAAAGTCAGAGCTACTACAATTCCCACATCAGCACTGCAACGCAGCTGTTGGCGTCTGTAAACAGCATTCTAATAGAACCAGCCGAAAATAACTGCTGGCTTGGAGTTCACCTCGATCCGTGACTTAACTTCAAGCATCATGTGATGTTCTGGACCGGAAAAGCAATGAAAGTTGCACATTGTATGTGATGTTTCAATTCTACTTTTCGAGGGGCTGCACCAGGAGTGCTGATACAAGCAGCAAAAAGTTGTATTGTGTCAATTGCGACTTTTGGTGCGGAAGCCTGGTGGCCCGGCCTCAAACGCTCAATAAGAGCAGAAATAGCCACGCCAGCTACTGCGAGCCTCTGTACTATAATCAACAAGGCCAACATGATGGGTCTCCAATCTGCACTTCCAGTTCTGCAGGCTACTCCTAATATTGTCCTGCATAGGAAAGAAGGAATCCCTCCCGCAAACATTATTCTAGAAGGAAACTGACTACAATTTTCAGCCAGAATGAAAACCGTCAATTGTGGTAATGGAAGTTGTATAGAGAAGCGTAAGCTGTTAGACTTTTGTTTAATATCACCTAGCAAAGCGAGTTGGGAGATTGAAGAGTTTGAGAACTATAGTGGAGAGTTGTTAATTAAATCCACTTAGTATCATAGCACAATTTAAACCAATTATTAAATCTAAGGGAAGAACACAATTCACTTGTTTACGCTAAATAATTGGGAGGCTGATTAATGTATGAGTTGTCATGAACATCCTAGTAATATTCGAACCTTATTACGTTCCATGTTGATGCGACTCTTCATTGCCAAGTAGCGCCAATATCAACATCAATGATTGGTACCCTCTAAGATCTCGTGCTGCAATGTGCCCAAACGTTGGGACCCGAAAGTACAGGAAGAATCCACGAGGATTTGATCCTGTAGATAGACAAAGGACTCGTGCACAGCGAGCTTATTGACAACTTCTGGACGTAGAAGCTTCGACGCCTCTGCTGCTGCCATCCTACTCTGCTAGATCCATGACTAAGTCAGATGGAAAAGAAGCGAGCAAACTTTGGATAGACAACGTGCCTGCATCGGAAATTTGCGCCTACTCAGACGGCTCTTTGGAGGGAAAAAGACGTTCAGCTTGGGGTTTTGTTCTAAGGAAATATGGCAAGACTCTTCTAAAAGAGAGTGGTATCTGATATGGAGAGGTCCTGGGTGCAGAAATCACAGGGTCCCTAAAGGCTCTTGAGGCGGCGCTGAGAATAAAAGGAGCGCAATATCAGCAATGGAGGGCAATGCGGCGAGTGAATGTGTTGCTGGAAAGTCAGCATGCAGTGAAATCATTTGAGACAGTCATCTCTTCAACTAGCCTCGAAGAAGCACAACAGTTTTGTATACTTTCAGCATCAGCTCTCATGACAGTCAAGTAGATCCCCGGTCACTCAGGAATACATGGGAACGGAGAAGCAGATGTGTTTGGATTAGGTCCTGGTCAACAATGTCTAGCCTAACGTGCTATGTTGCAGGCTACTGTGACAATTATTCATGGGGTCATCATCAGGGTTGTGAGTATTTCCGGATTTGGTGTGGGTTGTTAGATTGATACCTAAGCGTGTTGCATAGTAGTCAGATATGCGACTCGAGTAGCATATGCACGGTAAACCTCAACCCCAAAATGATGATATGAATCAGGTTTTACATGCTACGTCCTGTATGGCTAGCGTGGTTGGAATATGGGGAATTTACCTGTAGATAGATAAAGACGTTGTAGCCCTCTGATAGTTGGGACAAGTCTTCAAACAATATTATATTGGAATCAATACTAGCCTCTCATTAAGCAATCTCATGAATTATTTCCAATGTCTATGATAACAGATGTACATAATACAAAGTTGACAACAACTTCAAAGTCGATAATCCATGCTAAGAAAGCCAACAGTGGTCTGCACCTGTGCTTTAAGTATTGAAATCTCAACGAGCTAACTGCTAAGGACCCGTACCCAATTCCCTTGATTGACAAAATAATGGCACGTATTTCAAAGGCAAAGATCTTCACGAAGCTGGTTATTCAACAAGCGTTCCACTGCATTAGATTGCCCAAAGATTCCGAAGCTTTCACCACCTTCCAAACTTGATACGGAACATACAAGTATAAGGTCCTGCCGTTTGGTCTGACAAACAGACCAGCCACCTTCCAGCGCTTCATCAACAACATTATTACAGCCGACCTCAGGTTGACACTAGAAGACTCCCTCGAAAGATAAAAGAGTAATTGCTTTGTATTTGGACCTAAAGCTACGCATAATAACTAAAAGAAAAGACAAGGAGAGAAAGAGATCTGCAGCCTTGCTGGGCTGAAAACTCCATCAGCTCGCTTCCGAGATCGACGCTTACTCAACCTGACTCACCATCACGTGATATCATAACCTATCACTTGGAAACTCAAGCTGTAACATTATCCCCCTCTTTGAAAAACTGCGTCTGCACAGTTCGGGTCATTGGTCTGTTGTCCTCCAAGTTACTGTAATTGTCAATTCCAGCATTGTTAGCTTCTATCCATTTTGGTAGAGCCCTTGGAAGTCCTTTAGCTTGTGGGTGACTGGTATCAAATTCTTTGATCTTATATGGGCCAGTAATTGCATCCGAGCAGGAATACCATTCTAGATCCTCGTCTGCACCTTGCCACTGAATCCTGTATTCCAGTATGTCGTTCTGCACCCGTGATCCCAAAATGCTAGTAATCTCCCACTCGTCCTGGTTCGCTGTTATTTGCATAGGCGCTTGAGCAGGGCGCAATTGACCAGGTAGAGGGTTACTAATGTATTTTTGTAGGGAATGAGAATGAAACACGGGATGGATTTTCCAATGGACTGGCAAATTGACTCTCCAGCTCTCTCCTGCTTTCGCCAGAACTTTGACTGGGCCGTACCACTTGTGGGAGAGTTTTCTTGAAGGACGATCCAGCTTCTAGTTCCTAGTGTCAATGACTACTAGGTCCCCCACTGCCCAATCTACCTGGCGGCGGGTATGATTGGCCAGTATCTTCATCTAATCTTGTTGCAACTATAGGGATGACTGAGCGAAGGCTATTGCTTTCTCCTGACGGCTTGCAACATCCAAGGCGTTCTGACGACTGAGCTGTTCGGTAGCTGATCTGGGAGGTTCAGGGTTGTGAAGGTCGACCGAGGTTCTTGGTTCGTACCCATTCAGCACTTGGAATTGGCTGATATTGCCGAGTGACTCATGGGGCAAGGTGTTGAGATAGTACCGACAAATAACGGTCACGGTACCAAAGGTGCAAACCCATGCCTAGCACTGCAACATGCACATCTACTCTCGCCACCGAGATTCGGGCGCAGGAGCGCCCAGGTAAAAACTATACATGGAAGCGATTGGGGTAGCAACACCATAAGCCCCTGGAATATAAGTGCTAGCCGCAAGGGGCTGGGTACCACTCAGCGTATATGCAACAGCATTGAGTGTACAATTATATCTCGAGTGTCACTAAAGGAAACCAGTACGGTCGCCCCTGGATCAGCTATTCAGGGGCGCTCAACTAGGGTACTGAGCTGCGATTATAGGAGCAGTGATGCGACTGGCAAGCGGAGGATATACGAGAGCCGCAGGAGCAGCGATGGCCGCTCATGGACCGTGGATCCATGAGCGCTGGATTGGTAATGTGATTACTATAGATAGTCAATCACGAGATGGAACTAAGACTATGACATGGGTCATACAGATGTATATAAGATAGCATATATTCATACTTCTGACAGTATCAAAATCTGTCGAACACATCCTCTACATACTCCAATCAGACATAACAAGTGACAAGTAACTATGTTCCCATATGACTCATAACCTTAACACAAGGTGATCTGTGCTATATCCATAAGTGGCAATAGGGAGCTCCAATTATCTTGATATTACATGCAAAAAGGACGTAGTCTCTGCTTAACGTACTGAATCATGACCTCGGTTTTCCGTCAACATTAGGTTTATAGGTTGTAGTGAGTTTGAATTTAGTGCCTAAGATCTGGCAGTCTTCTTTCCAGAAAGTTGAGACAAACTGTGGTCCATGATCGGAGACTATAGAGTTGGGCATTCTGAAGTGACATGCCCAATATACAAGGAATAGCCCGGCCATTACCTTAGCTGTGATCGTTTTATGGCACGGAATTGAAAGGGGTTTTTTTGTCAATCTGTCTATGATGACAAATGCAGTGTTGTAACCCACTTCATCAAGAGGAAGCTGTTGAGGGAGTACAGTTCGTAAGGAAGCCTCGATTAGATTCTTTGCCCCAACAAGTTGCCACATGATTTATCACTAGCGTTCTCTGTGACGTAGTATTAAAAGCCTAGTAAATCCTGTAGCTAGAAAGAAAAAGGAAATGAACATAGATATGATTTCATTATAGAAGTATTCAACTGACACTGTGCTCCCATCAATTGTGATCTCTATTTAACAATATTTAACAGAAGCTCAGTGAAGTCTACTTTCAGGTGTTGGTACGGTCGAGCAGGGATTGGTAGAGGGTGTAACAGGCCAGGTGTCTTGTCCTGTCAGGCCATCTAGCGGGCACAGCTACAGTTGGCAATATAACGAGCAACATCATTCCCTAATCTAGACTAGCGGTACTTCTGACCGAGCAGTTGCTTGACCTTGTTGACTCCGGCATGTGCCACACATGGCTGGGCATGCACGTGGCGGATCAAGGCAGTGCGCAGCTCTGGAGGTTCCATAGGTATCTCCAGGTGTCCTTGGAAGTAGAGTTTCTTTTGGTTAAGCTCATGATCCATGTGGTGCGCTCTAGCCTTCGCACTAAGGGGTTCCAAGTCAGGGGAGGTTTTATTGGCTTCAATAACCTGATCAATAATGTCATATCCATTGATGTTGTATGCCACTACAGAGGCCGGGTCCGGTGGCTCACCATCAACAATCAGGTGGTCTAAAGGTGATGTAGCTTCGTCATTGACTGTTAATCCGGGATTATCAGTTGCAACCTTGTTGTCTGCATCCACTGAGGCTCTATGGATGTATGAGTCGACGTCATTGGGGCAGTCAATTTTCGCCACACGCAGTTCTTCCAAGATCTTCGGGTCTATCTTGTCGTCCATAATCATCTGTTGGTTCTGGTATGACCGTTTCTTAGCCTCAATGGGAATAAGTTCTTGATTGCAACAGGAGAGAGTGTCTGCAAGAGTATTTGTAATACCTGTCTGATACATAATTGTGAAATGGAACTCGGCAAAGAACTCTGCCCAGCAAGCTTGGCGGGCCGTGAGTTCCTTTGTTGACATGAAGTACTCCAAAGCCTTATGGTCTGTATACACATGGACGTTTTTCTGGGCACCTAATAGCTCAGGCTTGTACTGCTTGAAGGATCGGAAAATTGCCAAGAGTTCCTTATCATGGATTGGGTAATTGAGCTCGGCGTCAATCATTGTTTTTGAGAAATATCCCACAGGGTGAAAAAGACCATTGTCTTGCAGTTGGGAGAGGACGCCAGCAATAACTCCATCCGAGGAGTCTGTCTCTAGACGCGTTTGCTTATTTGATCAAAAATGGCAGAGAATTGGGGCAGACTTCAATGCTGATCTCAACGTTTCCCAGGCTACTTCGCATTTTTTGTCAAATTTAAATACAACATCCTTGCCCGTTAAGCATGTGAGAGGACGACAGATGGTACTATAATCCTTGATAAAACATTGGTAGAAATTGCAAAACCCCAAGTAGCTTTGCACGCCCCTAACGTTAGCAGCGTACTCTCAGTTTTTAATAACCGAGATATTGTCAGGGTCGACTTTGATACCTTTAACTCCAACAACAAACCCCAAAAACTTCGTCTTTGTGACATGAAACTCGGAATTTTTAATGTCAGCTTAAAGCCCATAGTCCAAGAGAATTTGCATGATGTTTTTGATGTGGATCTCATGCTCTTCGGGATTGCTAGAGTATATTAAAATGTCATCCATGTAAGCTGAGCAGAAATTGTCTAAATGCTCCATGAGAATATTGTTGATGAAGCGCTGGAAGGTGGCTGGTCTGTTTGTCAGACCAAAGGGCAGCACCTTATATTTGTAAGTGCCATATCGGGTGCGGAAGGTCGTATAGTCTTCAGAATCTTCAGTCATTCTAATGCGGTGGAAGGCTTGTTGGATATCCAACTTCGTGAAGATCTTTGCCTTCGAAATACGTGCCATTATTTCGTCGATCAAGGAAATCGGGTACGGATCCTTGGCGGTTAGCTCGTTGAGCTTTCAATAGTAAACACACAGACGTAGACTACCGTCGGCTTTCTTCGCAAAGAGGATCGGTGCAGCATGCGGAACGCTCGAAGGGGCAATGAAACCTTTATGGAGGTTCTCTAGGATATACCGCTTGGTTTCTGAGAGTTGTTCATCCGTCATCCGGCGCAGTGGCTCCATAGACAAGTTGTTTCCAACTTGTAAGTCGATTTTGTGATTGACATGGGGCCTATGGGAAGGGAGCTCATCTGAGGCTCTCCGAGATAAGAGGTGTTGGAAAGCTTGGTATTGAGACATGAGTTTGTCTTTCACCATATCCTCGTCTGATTGGTATTTGGCCTCCAAAGCCATCTTAGGTGATAGTTTACTATCAAGGGCCGCGATCTCAACTTCGTTTTGGAAGTTTAATTCATCCTGTCTTCGCTTGATCTCTATGTCAATTTCGTTAACCGAAGCAACAAAGGTATAGTTTTCCTTTCTATGGGAGTCCCGGGAACTTTGGGCCGGGCTTCTTAGATGGAACCGATGCATTGATGACGCTGAGATCATGGAAATGTTGGTCGAGTACTTGCTGTGTAGTTTCGACCCTGGAGACTGGGTGGGCAATTCGGCTGGTAGTTCTGGCCCATGGCTCTGATCACTCGTGGAATGACCGTAGGGACTTGATCTCTGGAGCGACTCCTCCATCCTAGATAGACGGTTCCGCATTTCTCTCAAGAAGCATGATGGTCTTCGAGGCTGGGGTTGCATGCGAAACTTTTTGGCTCTTGGTGGCTTACCATTGGCGTAACTGATTAGTGATCTGGGGTCACTGGTAAGCTGCACCCCTGAGAGTTCTGCTTCCTCGGCGGCTTCCATCTGGCTGTCTCGTCGGGCGACGTCTGCTTGATGTTCGGCGTTGGTCTTGCGAGGTGCCTTGTCAATGCAGAGAAGCAATTGGCGATCATAGTAATTAATAACTGGCATGTCATCTGGCCAGTGTATCCGATTCTTTGATCCAGCGTAGTCCAGCTTGAGATTGTAGTGTTCTAAAAACTTTCGACTAATAAGAATGTTGGCACCACCTAGGTCCGTAACCAGGAAAGGGAAGTTGATACGGCGTTTATCTATGGTAAGTGTGAGGAGGACGGCAGAAGTGATCGGTTTCCCAGAATGGCCGTCATAGCCAGTGGGGACAATTGGCTTAGGAAGGGTGAGAAATGAGGTTCGGAACAATGAGAGAAGTTGGGAGGCCAAAGAGGTACTAATAGCACCAAAGATATTTGCTCCACCATCAATGTGTGCACTTGCTTTGATATAATTTCCATTTCTAGCTAGTTCTATATTAGCCAGAAACTGGCGTCCTCCAAATAGAGAACAATAATCAAATTCCAAGTCCTTCCACAAATCATGGCCTTTACCATAGTGGGAGTCTTTACCACGGCTTAACAGTTTTTTGAAAGATCTTCTCATCTTTCGTCCTCGTCCAACTGTAGGGCTGCGATCCTCTTTTCTATCTGTCGATGCCTCAGAACATCCGGACAGTCTCGCATCCAGTGCCCGGACTTGTGACAAAATCGGCAATCACCAGCTGGGGTCGAGAGGGCAGGGCTCACAATTGCGGAAACGAGCGGAGACGGGGAACGGAGACGGACATTGGAAATGCCAGTGCCGGAAGTCGAGGGACCGACAAGTGAGCTCGGTCGCCAATTGTCCTTCTTGAGATTTCCGGCGTAACAGTTACGTCCTCGATCTTCGGCAGGAATAACAACCGCCTTGCGGGCCAGCTGGCTCTCCTCGAAAGCGATGTTGCGAGATTCGCAATCAGCGATGGCTAGGAATTCGTCCAAGATCGCGTAGTTACCATTCATCTTGTACTTCTCGATCCTGACATCTCGTTTCAAGGCCGGGGAGATTTTCTCACAGACATCCTCAAACCAACGGGATCGCGCAATCTTAGCAGTACTTGCATAGTTTGTGAACTTTTTGCGGAACTCTTTGTATGTCATGTTGCCCATGATAAGTTGTTGGTACTTGGATTTTCCAGCTTGCACATGATTATGGTCAAAAAAACGTTGATCCAATGCTTTGAGGACATCTTCTGCTCCATCAAATACTCCTCCGAAGTCGGGATCCATATGCTGCAGGATGATTGTCTTCGCTTCTCCTCCTGTACACTTGAAGTATGCCCTAACTTGGGCTTGCCCTTGTCGGAAGTTCCCCGAAAACACTTCAAAGAAAAGCTTCATTTCCATCTTCCAAGCATTGTATCCAATGTCGCCCAGATGGTCGGTAAACACACTTCGCGGGTACTTGACTCGGTGTGACTCTACAGTGGCGATCAAAGGATCAAGTACAGGCAGACAGTAGTCAACCGAAGGTTGAAGATCAGCCGTGAGGGCGCGAGGGGTCGTTCGAGCCTCGGTGGTTGGCGA